CGTTGACTATGTGATTAGTTTATGCATGTAATCGAAACTAGTTCGATATAAAAAAATTAAATTCCGCTGCGTATACATGCACGATCCCCAACACTTGACACATGGTTGTTTCTTAAAAAGCTGTCACATTGAATGACGCAGTATTGTAGAAGTAAAAGAAGCTGAAAATGCGTCATAGTTTTCAAAAAAATTGGCCCACATGTTGTAGAAAAAAAATGGCCCCTCATACAACCTCTTTTTTTCTTTTCATTTTCTCAGACACTTATACAAGGAGGTTTTCAGTTTTTCATTTCCACTTTTATTCATTACAATGGAATACTATTTCCATTAATTTTTCTAGCTATTTCTCCCTCAAACACTTCTTACGTGCAGGGTTTTTGTTGATTGTTTTGTTTCAGAGATTTCACACTGCATTTATCAAAGTTTGTGATAAAAAGGTAACCATATGTTCATTTTTTCCACTTCTTCCAAATTTTTGTTGCAGGTTTTTTCTTCTTAAATTACTTTTCTAGGCAAATATTTTTGTATCTCAATAGAAGCTTTGGTTACAATTATATTTACTCGTATAATTAATGGCCCCAGTTTAACATTCTGCTCCCAGGTTACTTATTCAACTTTCATTTCACATACGTAAGTTTTCTTCAAGTTCTTCTTCTTCTCTTATAATTTTTTGCATTGACGATTTTTTTTCGGTTGCAGATCTTTAACTTTCGTCTCCAACTTTATAGACATCTAAAGTAAGTAATTTGTTACTTGTATATTATATTTCTTTGTTACAATGCAATATAAGTAAAAGTTCTTGTATTTATCAAACACTTGTTGAAATTTTCTGTTTGTCCTCACTATTATTCACAACTTTCTTTTTCTCTTTCCTTGAAAATGGGATATACAGTCGTATGTTGTCTTTTCTCTTCTTGTTTTTGTTTTGTAATATTTCTTATTACCATTCGTTAATGGAAGATTGATGGTTGAACTTGATGTTACACGAACAGAGGATAGGAAGCTTGAAAATATTATGCTGAAAATATGATCACAAGTAGAATAGTTTTCAAAATTTTCCACAGATTTAATGAAGCTTCTAATTTTGAGCTTTTCAAACAAGATAGAATCGGGATAAAGTTTTTCAGTTAGAAAATATATTATCATTCTTGTGCTTTTGTCAAATATGTTTACTCTCAAACAAATTCTTACACACTTTATAGTTTTATTGATATTGTGGTATGTACTCCAACTCTTTTGCATAATCTTTTTGTTGTTTTTGTGTTATATATTTTACATATCTATCGAAGTTCATCTCATTTAATCAAAGGTAGACATTTTTGCTAATTTTTTTATTATATAATGTATTTTTCTGGTCGCTGAGAGTTGCAGAAACTAGAAACTCTTCTTATTTGGAGTGGATGAACCATTTTCACTTCTTATGTTGTTTCTGTACAATAGGTACTATTTAATTGGTTCGTTGAAGCAGCATATATTCGCTACATTTTTTGAAGGCTTTTACATATCTGTTTCAGTTGAGACGGTATTGACAATGGAAGAAAATGGTACACATCATGATAAATTACCAATAATATGATTTATTGTTTCAATTACGGTTGTTATTTACTGTTACAATTGAACATGGAATTTTAATATTTTTATGCAATACTTCAGTTAACAATAACTAAAAAATGTTAGTTGTGTGCACTTGTTCAAATAAATATGAACATATATGTAGAGAGTTTTCGATTTGTGTTACAAAGCTTAAATACATTTTTGTCACATTTCCTTTGTGTTGCGTTTAGGAAGCCTTGGTCATGAGGACGCAATCGATTCATACATTAAGTTGGAGAAATCTCGTATGGGTAATTATAGATGTGAAAAACTTCAAAAAGAATCCCAATTATCACTTGATGAGATTGTGCATTCCTCCTTGATCAATGGAGAAATTGACCCTGCAAATGTTCGGAAAAAAATTCGCTGCCTTCTTCATTTATAGGTGGATCAAGAGACATCATAAAACGTGATGTGAATGCTATGCAAATTCAATATCCACTCATTATCTCACGATTGGAAAAACAATTGAACAAGCAGCCTTTTCACGAAGATTATTCAGCAAACAATGATTTTCATAATGATTATGGGAATATCGAAAAAAAAAGGTTGTTGATAGGAAGCTTTTTGGTGAAGGTAAGTTATTAATCATACAATCCAATTCTTTTGAATTCTCTAAGCTTTTGTTCAACTTTATAGGCTAATATTTGTTAATCTCTTTCTTAGATATTGCTCATGAGTTCATGCATGTTGAAGATGGATGTGGTACATCTACCAGCCAACGTCGATCTCTAATTACAATCGTACAAGAAGCCAATATTAGACATCTATTTTTTGTTGCATTGGCATAATTAATACATCAAACAGTTCGTATTATCTCCATCTTTTTGAATTGTATTATCTCTATCTAAATCATAACTTGAACTTCTTTTATGCTTGCTTAGAATATATGATAATATCTTCAAAACTATGTGTACCTTATAATTTTATTTACTCTATCCTACGATCTTATGCAACTTAAACATATGATATATAGTGTTAAATATATCGAAAAAGCAGATATATTAAATCGTGAAATTCCATGCATACCGCGTATAGCGCAGTGCGACTCTCCTAGTATATATATAGTGGCGGATCCAGGACGAAAACTCAGAGTATGCCGGTTGTGGCGAGTTTAGGAATTTACTACAAAGTTGTCTTAAATTTTCTGGGGTTCAGAGGCAGCGCCCCCGAAAAAAAAATGCACCTTTTTTTGTTAGATAAATTAGGAGAAGAAAAAATTTAGGACTTTTTTTTATATTTTGAATATCGGGTGGACTAAATAATAATATAGATATAATATAATGTGTTTTTTGGGAGATGGGCTAAAACAAATAAATTTTTTTTTGTATATTTTGAAATTTTGGTGGACTAAATAATAATATACATATAATATAATGTGTTTATGGGAAGAGGGGACCGAAGAAAATAATTAAACCTTTTTTTGTTAAATAAATTAGGAGAAGAAAAAACTTAGGATTTTTTTTGTATATTTTGAATTTTGGGTGGACTAAATAAAATATAGATATAATATAATGTGTCTTTGGGGAGAGGGGCTAAAAAAGAAAAAAAAGGACTTTTTTTGTATATTTTGATTTTTGGGTGGATTAAATAATAATATAGATATAATATAATATAGGGGTAATATGCTACGAGCCCCTCATGTGAAACCTAATTGAACTAAAAGACAAGTTTAAATTCAATTTTTTGATTAAATCCTTAGATTGAAATAATATATGACCCACATCCTTAATTTTTTTAATCCCTATATTTCCCTTACACCCTAAATTTTATAACCCACATATTCACGTTTCTCTCTCATATTTATTTTTCTTCTTTATAATTCTCTCTCTCTTGATCTGTCTCGCTTTCTCTTGCTCTCTCTATCTCCCTTGTTGGATTAATTTCTCTCGATTGCAAGCTATCTCTCTCGCCTCCGCTCCAACCCATGATTTGAGGGGAGGTGATGGCTATGATGATGGAATCGACTATGGCGCTGGAGGCGGTGGCTTGGGGGGAGGGATGACGGCTCTAGAGGAGGCGCGGCGCTCGTTGGGTGGCGGCGGCTCTGAAGGAGGCGCCACTCTTGTTGGGCGGCGGCACTCGGGGTTGAGGGATGGTGCCGGTGGCGATCAACATTGGAGGTGGGGATGGGGATGGCAACAACAGCGTGTGTGGGGTTTGTGGCATGTTTAGCGGCGTGGGTGATGATGGCGTCGTGGATCTAGGGTTTGGTGGAGGAGATCTACGGTTTGGTGGGGTAGATCTAAGATTTTTTTGATTTTATATCTATAGATGTCTGTGAGTGTCTATGGATGTTTATGATGTCTGGCGGCTAGGGTTGAAAAGAGGAATTAGGGCTTTAAGAATATGTGACTATGGATTACTACAATTTTCTACGAGTTTCTATACGTGACTACGGACTACTACGGTTTCCTACGGGTTTCTATAGAAGACTACGGCCGAAAAAAATTAAACAATCATAATTTCCAATATTATGTAGAAAAAAAGGAAAAAAATACGAAAATGCAAAAAAAACGCGTTCTAAAAAAAATAATAACAAACTGCTAGATACAAAAATGAAAATGTTAAATGCATAATGAAAAAAATGATAAATACAGTTTAAATATTACTTAGTGCATATTTTATTTTTTGTGTGTGGAGGGCCTTTTTGGAATGAAATTTATAATAAAGAATGTGAAGCAAATGTTTGGTTAAACTTTCATTTAATTCTAATAAGTTTTATCACCGAGAACCTATATCTTAAGCGGCCTGTAAACAAACCTTGGGGTAGCCATACTTATCATCCGCACGTGCACCGAGAAATATATCAATTTGTTATCCATGGATAACAGAACCGACGCCACTCAAATATTGGATAACACGATAAGGCAACTCTACTTCAACTTATGGCTGTAGATTATTTAAGATATTTGCTGCATTAATGAATTGAGACATCTAATTAGCACATTATTTCTCTTTTTATGTCGTTGCCTTTAACCTAATTTTGTGTGACACTGTTGTTCTATTGTACTATGAATTGTATTCATTTGAATTACATTTGATTATGCTAACTAACTTTCTACTGATGAACTAATATTTAATTCTGATTTACTAATATTTATTTAAGTAGAAGAATTGGTTCATCGTGTTATTAAATGTGCTAAAATTTGGTGCTTAATATGACCTTGCCATAAAATCTATAATTCAGCAATAGTTGAATTAAATTTTGTAGTACTCTAGGAATAAGACTATGTTTTATTTATTTAATAGAAGATAAATAAGACTATATTTAATTGGTCTTATTTATATTCTTCAATCTAAATTTGCTCATCACTTGGTGTTCATTTTGATTAGTTAGCTATGTGTTGTGCATTGCCTATCACAAATACGTAATGAAAGCTTGAGAAAATCAAGTAAGAAATTAGAAGAAAAACAATATGGATTTATTAAGTAAAACGTATTCCAATTGTTTATATAACAATATTTATGCTCATAACATATTCCAATGGATCAATTCCCTGATACGATATATATTTAATATATCGTATATTTATTCATTAGTTATTATTTAATTATTTAATATATATTATTTAAGTATTAATATAGTTAGAGCCGTAGGCTTAATGATTATAGGATAGATATTAAGTATTTTATTAGTTTAGGTAATTATCTTTCCTAGTTAGATTAGGATTCTAGGGTTTTATTCTCTTTAAATAGTCGTATTGTGCTAGGGTTTTATTATGCAGAGAAATAATAAAGAAAAGTTTTCTTACGATCAGTAAAGAAATCTTATGATACACAAGAGATCGTATCAATTGGTATCAGAGCGAAGTTGCGATAACACCAACGCTTCGTTAGCAAAGCAGAGATTATATCAAAGCTAAGCTGGAGCAAAGTTGAGATCACATCAAAACTTTGTGAAAATCATGATGTCCGAAACAAGACGGTTAGAGCGATTGGAGAAATCCGTAGAGAGATTACGGATTGATTTTCAGAAATTGCTCGAACAAAGTCACAGACGACGTCAACACCAACACAAAAGTCGAAGGGACCGCCGCCCATTACCGCCAACGCCACCGCCGCTGCCGCTGCCGAGCCTATCGCCGGAGGAAGAGGAAGAGGACGATGATGATTTTTTCAAAGAGCCACCGCCGCCGCCGCTGCCGAGCCTATCGCCGGAGAAAGAGGAAGAGGACGACGATAACTTTTTCGAAGAACCCCAATTTTTTGTGAGTTCGCCAGAAGCGCAAAGGAGAGGGATCAAATTAACTCGAACCTTGAGGACAAGGTTCATTTCAAGAGGGGTGGTTTGATACGATATATATTTAATATATCGTATATTTATTCATTAGTTATTATTTAATTATTTAATATATATTATTTAAGTATTAATATAGTTAGAGCCGTAGGCTTAATGATTATAGGATAGATATTAAGTATTTTATTAGTTTAGGTAATTATCTTTCCTAGTTAGATTAGGATTCTAGGGTTTTATTCTCTTTAAATAGTCGTATTGTGCTAGGGTTTTATTATGCAGAGAAATAATAAAGAAAAGTTTTCTTACGATCAGTAAAGAAATCTTATGATACACAAGAGATCGTATCATTCCCATCATAGAGAGAGAAAAGAGAAAGGAAATGACAAAACACAAAAAGAACGAAAAATCCAAGAAATGATACAAATATTGATAAAAGAAATAAAGAAAACGAAGCATTGATGATTAATTAACGACGACAATTAATCATCATTATATTAATCAACATACGATCGTCCCAGGTTGTAGTAATCAGTAGCCAGCTGGCTTGTAGGCAATGAAACTGATGTCCTGGACTTGCTTCAGGTTGTTGAATCCGATGATTCTGATGAAGCCCTCCGGGTACGCCTTGATTGCCTCGTCGAGCTCGTTCACAACCTGCACTGCGTCTGTGCATCCGAACATGGGCAACTTCCACATTGTCCAGTATCGGCCATCGTAGTACCCTGGGGAGCTGTTGTACTGACGGAACACAAATCCGTGCTGCATCCATCAAGTTTGCACCATGAATATAAATATCAATCACTATCATAATACTGCTTGTTAATTTTTTATATAATTAATTAATTAATGAATGAAAGGTAATGAATTAATAATTTATTTTATCGACCTCCAACTCGAACTCGATGCAGGGGATGAGCTTGTTGCGGAGAAGGTAATCAACTTCCTTGATGAGTTGCTCCCTGGTTAGTGGGGGAAGGTACGACAGTGTCTCGTACTTCTTGTTGTTAACAGTTGGCCACACCTGCAACATCATTTATTCATATATATATGTACCACAATTAATTATATTACTTATTGATTTTATTAATTATATATTTAATTAATTAATTTATTGGTGAATTAAGTTGGTACGTACCTTCATGCAAGAAACTCTGCCGCCATTGCTAGCGATGGTGGTGATGTCGGCGCTCTTGCGGGTGGCGGGGAAAGCGACGGAGGACTTAAGTCCGGTGAATGGAGCCACCATGCTGGCTTGTGCCGAGCTGACGGCGGTGGTGGCGGCGGTGGCGGTGGAGAGCATTGAGGAGGCCATTTCAATTCTCTTTGATGTTTTGTTTTTGCTAATTAAATCTCTTGCACACTCAATGTGTCTACTGCGTGGAAGTGTTGTACAGAAACCTCATCCTTTATAGTGCTATTCAACCCCCTTTTCTCTAATTGGTTTATTCAGATTTTCATCCAACGGCCTCAGATTAATCGTTTTATCTTTTAGTGGGATTGAGCCGTTGGATGTTCTTAGACAGTGACTTTTCTAATTTATGACCACATATGGATGGAATGGATTGGTAACCTTAGAGAACATCCACTCATGTCATCCTCTTTCCCCTCCCTCTTCTTATCTCATCATCTCCAACCGATGGTGATATTCATTACATTATTTCTTTCTCCTAATCTCACCAAATAATAACAACAATAATAATAATAATAATAATAATAATAATAATAATAATAATAATAATAATAATAATAATAATAATAATAATAATAATAATAATAATAATAATAATAATAATAATAATAATAATAATAATAATAATAATGAACAATAATAATAATAATAGAAGTTAATCTATTTGATATGTCTGAAATCCCTATATCTACTACTTGTAATTAAATTGCTAGTAATGCAATTGGTGAAGTATATGGTATGTAATTAAATTTCTATGTAACTTCTAATTTATAGAAAGATGGTTTTAAAAATGAGCATTCCATATTATTTTCTAAAAGACTTCTGCTAGCCTATTCTAAAATACTAACTGAATGAACATGGAAAAGGGGTGTCATACATACAGAGGCCTAATATTACTGTCAACCCCTAATTCGTCTTTGATTTGTTTATGTTCTTTTTTTTTTTTTGAAAAAAAAATTTCCTGCCGCTGATCGGATGTCAAAGCCGATCAACACACTGTTGAAAGTAATATTACGTCTCGTTTGATTGCCAATATAAGATTAACCAAGATAAGATAGTTATCCTTGTAAAATAATAGGCCTATTATTTTATAAGGTAAATTACAACCACGGTATGGTCAAATTACGAAAAAAACCTTCATGTTTGGGTAATTACAACTACCCCTCAACTATGAATTTTCTTACACGTCCACGCTTATGGTGTTGAATTTAGTGGAATCTGCTAGATCATGTGGAATATTCTCAAGTTTGTCACCCGTTTTATCCATTCGAGCTCCACATTTTGAAGCAAGATGATCATAAGATGTGTTTTTGGCTTGTATATATATCATATTGTGGTGAATCAAAAATTGCATTTTTGCACAAAACGAGTACAAACTAGAGAACATTCCACGGAATCTAGAAGATTATGTTGAATTTGACACCATAAGGCTAAGAAGATTCATAGTTGAGGGGGTAGTTTTAATTACCCCAACATGAGGATTTTTTTCGTAGTTTGACCATTACTCAGGGGGTGGGTGTAATTTACCCTTATTTTATAGGATGTTTGCTATCAAATTTTGGAATATTTATCTCCACATTATCCAATAGTGTTTGATGTATGGTTTCCTTAACATCAACCCAATTACTTAAAATTACTGAATTATCCTTTCTCGTTGGACATAGATTTTTTCTTTTTATTTTTTAATATTTATATTTTGCTATTTTTTTATGTATATTTTTTAAAAATTTTAAGAAAAAATTCTTCATTTTTTTCGAATATATATATATATATATATATATATATATATATATATATATATATATATATATATATATATATATATATATATATATATATATATATATATATATATACTTTTTTCGAATTTTATTTATACTAATTATTTTTAAAAAACTAGGACAATTTCATCATTAATATATCTAATCATAGCACAATAATTCTATTGGACCACTCAAGATCCAATTAGTTATTTCACAATTAGCCATGACAATTATTTTGGCAGGTTCGAATCGGAAAATAATAGGGTCAATTAAACATCAGACTAAATCTTACTATTTAGTATTTACTTAATCTTGACTAATCATATCAACCAATCTTGCCTAAGCACACCCATTCAACATGTATTACAAACAAATGCAAACATAATATCTTATTAATAAAAGTAAGCTCCTCGTAAACTCTATGAAATTTTTCCCGCTCATTTGATAATTATAATTGTCATTTATTTAAGTAATTAATTTTATTATTTTATCTTATTTAATATAATCAAGTTTAATAAATCTGTTAACTATCCAGACTTTTGGCACCAAATCTACGTATATGTTTCCACTAAAATTGTCATTTTACTTAATATTAATTTTATGGGAAAATTATTTGATTGTTTAGAAAAATATTTGGTTCTCATATTAGTAATAAAAAATAAAGTTGCTCCTCAAAACTCTTGAGAATTAATGGCATCATTGATTTATAGTAAAAAAAAAATTGGTATATGAAGGAACCTGCAGCCAGCCATATAGGTGCACTGAGTAAACCTACACTCTCATATAATAGCTTGCAAACTATACGAGAGAGAATATATAGTAAATTTATTGACGCATATTATGAGTGATAAAGAAGCATCAAACTTCTACCTTAAATGAGATAAGATAACTATCCAACAATATTACATAAAAATCAGAAAGTTAAATTAATAAATATGACAAAAAAAGGTTTATTGATGGGGATTATCATCAATACATATAGCAAAACATCAAAATGAATTGAAACTTGGTTAACAGTAATATATTGTCAACCTCAATAATATTAATTGTTTGGGCTGTTTTTTTTACTCGTTTCTTCTTCTAGTGCTAACCTCTTGTTTTTCCCTTTTCAACCACGAAACCAGAAAATAGAAAACAAAGATAGAAAGATATAATCAAGGGGTCTTCGTTGTAGTGGCGGATTCAGTAATATTTTCAAGGGCGTTGTTGAAGATTACGAATAATAAAAAAATATAAACATCACTTGATGAAAATGATGGCCCAAAATATTTTTAGGGGCTCCAACACCCTGTTTCTGGTATATCTCATTTCATTTTACGTTTTGGTTCTCGCTGTTCGTGGTCCCTCAGCATGGAGGGCGAAGAGGGGAGGTGGGGGAGGATTGAGCGGTAGTAGGAGATGAGGAAAACGAAGAGTAATGGTGCCGGATAAGTAGAGGGCCGAAGACGCAGATGAAGAAATAGGGTGTTGTTACATTTTGAAAGTTTAAAGAGTTCTTGATTTTGACTTGTTATCATAGCGGGTAAATGTAGGGCTAGAACTGAGTTGGTTTTTATCCACCAACCGATTCATTACCGACCATATTTTTAGATGGATAATCAATTTTTAACTGATCCATTGAATCGGGTCGAAAATTTCAACCAACCCAACTATAATGGGTCGGTTTGTGGTTTCTAATATTATCAAAAAATGGTTGACCGATAATTATCGGTCATCCAACTATATTATTAAAATTTTATACGAATCGGTATATCAATACCGATTCGATCCGAGCTCTTGGAATTGGAATAAGTTCGGCAATGGATCACGAAATCTTGGTGATCTTCTCTATCTAATGAATGGGGAGTCTGCTTTAAAATCGTCCGCCCTGCACCCACCCCAGAGTATATGCTTCAACAGGAATCACACAAGGGTAGATTAGAAACATCTGGTAAAATGCCCGCCCGTCACCCAGCGGATAAAGAACATTACATAGTCCAGGGATTGGCAACTTACCCATTCATTGACTTTGGCATTGGACGTTCCTAAAACGAGTTCCCGGAGGGTGGTAGGAGCGAGAAAGCTTCTCTGTCCCTTATATCAATTCCTATATCACCCTATCTTGTTGTAGCAGAAGACGATTCCGGCTTCTGGTCAAAGGGCCTCTACAAAGGATAGGGATGGATGATGCCTGGAACTTCTAGGTAGCTTAGCGCCGTAGCACGCACCTGGTGCTCAAACATTGGCTCGAGGCATTTTCTCTACCCCTTACCCTGAAAAAGCAAGGGCACCTTACGTTCTTGAACCGATAACCATCTTTCGGCTAACCTAGCCTGCTCCGTCCCTCGCGACCAACAAGGGGTAGTACAAGAATATTCACCTGTTGTCCATCGACTACGCCTTTCGGCCTGATCTTAGGCCCTGACTCACCCTCCATGGACGAACCTTGCGGAGGAACCCTTAGGTTTTCGGGGCATTGGATTCTCACCAATGTTTGCGTTACTAAAAATATAAAATAAAGACCGTCTTTTCTTAAGTAATTATTGAAATTATTAAAATAATTAGTATTTTAAATTTTAAAAACAATCTAATAAAGTAAAAAAAGTTGACCTAAATATTTCACCAGTTTCTTTATGACTAAGCTTAAACAAAAAGTCCACAAAACTCTACTAAATCTCCTATGCACCCGTTTATTTATGCCCAGCGGCCAGCACAATCACAAATCCACAAAATTCTCGGTCAACAGCCACCATCTCAGGTTCAGGTAACAACTATTTTGAATCCATTATTCTTTATTTAATTCCTTGGGAAATTTAGTTAATTAGTTTATCACTTTTACAAATTGAATATTCTTAATCAAAATTGGACTGCATGCAGACTTGATTTATACTTTTCCTGTCAATTATTTTTCCATGTAATTTGGCCTGTTTTGTTTGGTTAATACAACACGATTATTTTTTTCTAACTTATTCTATTCTTACATAGTTACATGTATATGTATTGTGAATTTTAAATAGTTTTGAATGATTAATCAGTTTATCCTTTTATTTGTTGGGAATCAGACACGTGTACGCAGTGGAAAACAAAAATTTTATGCGATTTAAACAACTTTAAAAACACATAAACACATGCCCGATAATTGAAGCAATTTTAATTGAAACAATTAATTGCGTACCTTTGCGCTTCCAGCGAAATTTAAAAACAACATTCATGCTTAATAATTTAACTGAATTGAAATCAATTAGCATGCTCGCGTTTAAATCAAATATTCATGCTCGCAATAAATAAATAATTCCATGTAGTCACATAAAATCATACAAGAACGAACATAAACATTCTATTTAAACGTAAACGAATCAAGAACAATGAATTCGTGAGTTTACCTCTTGAAGCGTGAGGTAGGCGCACTTACCAAAATGAGATTGCTACGGAAACCAATCCGTACAATCCGGGGCAGG